CCCCCCCCACAGCCCGCATCCCTGTCCCTGCTCGTCTCTCTTCCCACGCAGGAGGGAGAGCTGGCCCAGGTTCAGGAGAAGCAGTCCTGGGTTCCATTCCCAGTCCTGCCACTTCATCCCATGACAAGTCCCTTCTAAGCCTCAGTTCCCTCATCTGCACAGTGAGGGTGATAGGGCCGGCCTCAGAGGTTTATGCAGACGAGGAGGCCAGACGTGCCCTCAGACTGGGTTCAAATTCTAGCTCTCTACACGCTTGCTTTAAACACTTGGGTACGCTTTATTTTTCTTAAAGAGTTTTCTATTTACTCTTATTTATCATCATTATTTTAATTTTCTATAGGGCACATGCACTTACCAGAGAGAGACAGAGAGAAAGAGAGAGAAGGAAAGTGAGAAAGCAAGCCACCAGGCCTGGGATTCGAACCACAGTCGGCCATGTGGGAGCCCAGTGCCTTAACCACCACATCACCTGCTGGCCCCACGGTTTACTTCTTTGAGCCTCATCTTCCATATTTGAGAAAGATGGAGAGGCCTGGCCTGTTCCTGAATGAGGAGCCAGAAGCCACAGGCTGACTGTGGTTTGAGTCCCTGGCCCGGTCAGTCTGGAAATTTACCAGACACATTCGGGAGCCCAGGATCCTGGAGGGCTGGACTGGAGAAGGACTGCAGTGTGGCCGAGACTGGGGAGGGGCTTCTCCCTCCCTCTCTCTGGGACACACAGGCACACGCGATCATGAATTTAAAGAAAGAAGAGACAGTAAAGTACACACCTCACAGGATCACCGTGACAGCTGAGCTCACTCGCAGAAAGGGCCCGGGCCTCGGGCCGCTGAGCAAATATTAGATACTGTTATCGTATTACTAAACACAGGTGTGCGCCTTACCCGAGCCCCCGGCCCCTCCCTCACCTACAGGTACGGAGAGAGCGGGTGGCTGCCCAAGGAGGCCTGCCAGCGCATCACCCGGAAGTCCTGCAACCTGACCGTGGAGACCAGCCTCTTCACCGACCTCTACTACGCCAGGGTCACCGCCGTCAGCGTGGGGGGCCGGAACTTCACCAAGATGACTGGCAGGTTCAGCCCACTGCAACACAGTAAGCAGGAGCCCCGCCTATTCTGGGAAGGGCAGGGGAGTCGGGAGTTGGGGGGGTGGCTTTTGAGGAAAGCGCCCCCAAACAGAGCTCCACCCCTGCGGACTTGTTCACTTCAGTTCGGATCACCCTCCTCTAGCCCCTGCTGTAGCCAGGGCCTCCTAACTTGTTTCCTCACTCAGCACGGGCCCCCCTCCTCCAGCCAGTTCTCCACAGAGCAGTCAGAGGGACCTTCTGGCTGCATGAAATTGACCTCCTCATGACCTGCTTGAAACCCTCCTACTTGGAGGCCCGCAGGTGGCATGGTGGTTAAGGTGCTGGACTCCCACATGGTGCGACCACAGTTCGAGTCCCATACCTGGTGGCTTGCTCTCTCACTTTCCCTCTCTCCTCTCTGTTTCTCTCTGGTGAATATGTATAGCAAATTAAACAATAATAATAATTAATTAAATTATATATATGTATATATATATATATATTTTTTTTTTAAACCCTCCTGCAGCTGCTCCTGCCTCTTAAAATAAGATCCAACTCTTTGCTGTGGCCTTCAAGGCCCTCCTTCCTCTGCCCTCATCTCAAGCACCAATCCCCACTGCTCTGCGTGCCGATCCCCTGCCTCCGGCTCCTTCCGGCTCTTTCTCCATCCTTCGGGCTCAGCTTCAACATTGCCTCCTAGGTGGGTGTCCCCCCCCCGGCCCAACAGCCGGGTGTGCGCAGGTCACCGCCTGTCCTTGCCGCATCACAGCACGCTGTCCCTCACCGCCACAGCTGATGCTACCTGCAGCCTGCAGCTGCTGCGTTTGCAGCCAGTGCGTCCTCTGCCTCCCTACTGAAACGTGGAGGCCCAGTGCAGCCGCAGGCCCACGTGTTCCCAGGCTGAGGCAGAGCACCTGGCACGGACAAGGTGCTTGGTACATGACTGATGAGTGGATAGATGGACAGGTGGGTGGGAATTAGTAGCCAAACTCTCCATACGAGCTGAATGTCGTGCTTGCCAGAAAGAGAGTGACAGAGAGAGGGAAAGCGCGAAATCACCCGCCGGGGGAATGGCCACATCACAATCCCCTCTCATCCATTCTCCTCTTGGAATTCTGGGCTCATACACACACATACAAGCCACCAGGTCCAGGACTCAAACCACAGTTGACCATGTGAGAGTCCAATGCCTTAAGCACCATGCCACCTGCTGCCCCAATACACGATTATTTTAAATTTTTTTTTTTTTTGGAGAGATTTTTGTTGTCGGGGGCAA